TCTTAAGCTAAGGGGTGAGGAGGTGAGGATCACAATTTGGGTTATAATCTTTTTTTCTGAGTTACAATGCCAGATCTGTCAGAATGACAGCAGTGGGTCTTTTGGAAAATCACTTATCACCCCTGAGCATTAGTTTCTGTTTCATTAAAAAAAATAAAAATATTCATACTTAATTGGGGAATTACATTTATTGAAATAAAACATCTAAAATAGTATAGAGTTGGTATTAAAATAAATGTAATCAAAGTAGCAACTTAACATGCATTCAACATATTAATGAATATGTAAAGGTATTATAATTCCCAAACTCTAAACATAAGGGTGAGCAAGGCACATACCACATTCATGTCTTCTAGTGTTTTAGGACACAAATGCTGGTCAGTATTGACAAGAATGCAGTAGTGTGTTGAACATTTATACAAACTTTAATTTTCCTTTCCTCATTTCCTAAAAAGTACACTAAACCATAATTCATATGGAATTTCCATTGTGCCTGGAATTGTTAATTGTGTAGGTGATTTAAAGTGATGCATTTGTTTTCTGGGAACATACTTTGCCCTTTAACATGGAGCAATTGAGCATCGTTGGATTCAGGTATTCACAAGGTCCTGGGATGTAATCCTCACAGAAAATGGGGAATGACTCTTTGGGGCACAGTTCAAATATGTGGAAGGTAGACAAACATCAAATTATTAAAGATGTTTAATAGCTAATAAATAATTGCCTAAGCTTAGGCTCTGAGAAATCTTTTTAAGACAGAAAATCCATGTCAACGCTGAGACTACATCATGGCTTGCATTGTACTGTGTGTGTGAATTTTTGTGTGTGTGTGCGTGTGTGTGTGTGTGTATCTGTGTATATGTATGTATGTACATACATATGTGTATGTCTATATGTATATGTGCTCTTCCTTTGATAAAGCTGTACATCTCTAAATGAAGTGAACTTGACAGCACATCATTTTATTTGTATAGGAGTGTCTGGGAGCAATTGGACAGACTTAGATTATCCTAGGTGCACAGTGAAACTTTGAGTTTTGCCTCTAAAAGAAATCACCTTCCTTAATTAATTTTAATTTTATAAGCAGCATGAAAGACTAGACAGACTAAAAGAGATGGAAAAGAGAAGAAAAGGGGAGGCTAGAAGCAAAGGAAGAAAGAGAATAAGAAAGACAATCAGAACAGGCTTTTAAAGTTACTAAAAGTAAAACGACAAATGGAATCCTTAGAACAAATCTTCAGTACAGCTGAAATAAAAATGAAAAATTATATGCAAATTTGTGCCGATGGAGCCTTTAGTTCAATTATCATGATGTCAAAAGATGATTTCAAAGCAGTAGTTCTTCAGTAAAATTAATCTTTTAATTTCTTTTCTCTTTTAATAAGGAAAACCTCTTGATGTGCTTATATAAAATAGGAAGCATGCATCCTCAACCTGTAACTCTTTGCCTGACAAGTGTAGGTGGAATCTACCATCCAGTAACTTAAAGAGTCAACATAGACATTTTACTACTTTTAAAGTAACACTCAAACTGGTTAAAAAGCTGTCCAGTTCTGCATGTCTGACCCTGTTCAAAAGATGACACCTAGCAAAAATTAAACTGCAATTTCTTTATTAAGTTCTTCAGATTTTTGTCAAACATTTTTCTCTTGCTTTTCCCTTTACTCATACATCACTAGGCTCTTTGGGTGACTTTGTGTAACCCTTAGCAGAAATGTCATAATAGAAGAACGGATGTGCAGCTCTGCAGGGCTTCTAAGAGGCTGCATCTGACACGGCTAATCAGGAGTTTTTGTACCTCAGGCTGAGCAACAATTTAAACCAGTCATCGAGCAGAGGAGAAATACTGTGCAGAAAGTCATCTCAAAATTATAGTAGGTGGCTGGTGGTTGGTAAGACAAGATTGAGATTTTTTTTTCTGAATAAGAGCTTTATGAAACTTACATCACAAGCTTTTGCTGCAAAAATTGTTGATGCATATGAAAACCTTTTGTAGGAATCAAATCAGTTGACCTGGCATAACTGTAGTAATCTGGGTAATCTGGTTATATGTATAGGTGATCAGAAGATTATAAGCAGTGAATATGCCCACAGAATCTTGATAGAGTAGAAATCAGAAAATAAAAACAAAAACAAAAAACATAGGTCTGTGAAACACAGAAATGAGTCTGGGAATTCATTCTCTTATATGTCTCTCCAAATCCATACAATACAAACATAGCTTCAAAAATGATGAAAGAAGGAAATAGAAATAGAAGATCATATCTGCAGAACCTTCTTTGCATGCATGGTTTTGCAGATATGGCCTGGGACCTACTTACACTGAGCCATTTATCAGTGTAACCAAAGCCCATGCTAATAGTCCTCTTATCTAGTTCTCATAAACATTTGTCCTATTAATAAGAAACATTATCATATTTTATAATAATGATGATGGCCATGTTTTCAATAAAAAATTAGAACTTAAATGGGGAAATTCAGATATGCAAGGATATTATTTTTGGTCTGATTAATACTTCATGGCATTTTCTTGTTATTTTGACTTTACTTTTAGAAGGTCAACACTCCCTGGGAAACTACTAATTCTTCCTGGAAAAATGCTTAAAATGTGTCTATTTGTCCTTAGACAGGAAGAGAGAAGTCTGAGCTAATCAATCTGGATCATCCTACTCACTTCATGCAAGAGAATGAGAACAGCAGCAATAGTAAATGTGAAACCGTGGAGAGAATATTTTTATCCTAAGACAAGACTTATTTTTAAAGTTAAAGTTTCACACGCAAAAAAATGTTGACTATGACCACTATAAGCATATTAATCATGTTAAACAAATGTGTGCAAATAGTTTTGTTAAGTAAAGATTGATTCGAACTGTTCATTTAATAGTTTTAAACATCATTATAAAAATTAAAAGTGTACAGAAATACTTTCTCAAAAATCAAAAAAATGTTTAAAATATGTAGGATTGAAAGCAAGCAAACAAAAAAATAAGTACTTATAATTCTGAGAAGATTTCAGTGGTCTTTGAAAGTTTTTCTACTCATTCCTCTGCTTAGAAAATCCTTCTTGCCACTCACCCAAAGCAGATGATCTTCCCCATAAACTGTGGTGACTCCATTTTTTAGACTTGCTTTTAGCCCATAGCCCTTAAGTTGTGTCTTCAAAGTGCCTTTAAACTGGGAGGTTCCATCTGGTCATTCTTCCCTGTTTATACTTTCTGGAAAACACAGTAACACTGGGCATTTTGAACAGTCACAAAGACTCTTTCTTCTCTACCACAAGCTGTTCTTTAATTTTTTTCATGCAATAAATTCTGATCATAAATTTCTCCCCACCAAACTCTCCTAAGATCATCCCACTTGCCCACTCACCCAATTCAACACCCTTTCTTTCTTTCTTTAGAAAACAAATAAGCGGTTAGACAGACAAAACACACAAACAACAACTACAAAGCACAGTGCCAGTGTAGTAATGCATACAATTATCTGGTCTGCCTAGCCAGTCCCAGGACAGCAAAAACCACAAAACAGAGACACAGTCTCAAAAAAAAAAGGTAAAAGTAAAAATAAAAATAAAAGAAATTGAAAAACTCCAAAGAATCCAAAAAACATGAATCAGAATCCCCCCATACACACAAACACACTCACTCATATGCTTTCAGTGACACATACACATACATGCAAAACCCTTACAAAAACACAAAATCCAAAACCACAGCATATAACAAAATATATAAGCAAAAACTCTAAAGGACCAAAAGCAAACAAAGAATATAAAGGGGAAAAAAAAAGACTACAAAAGTATTATTGAATTTGCTTTATGTTGGACATCTACTGCTCTGCCACATTCTGCTAACAGAAAGACATTGTTTGTGTTGCATAAGTTAATCAACTGATTGCTCCTGTCTTATGCAGAAGAAGTCAATTAGTTGTCACTAATGGGACAACTCCTCACTGCTCTTCCTACCAGGGTAGTAAGATATCCTTTTTTAACTCCCTCACTAATATTGAAAAATTTGGGGGGACTTGTACAAGATTAAATACTTTTTTAACACTTGAATAACTTTATAATTAATGTATTTAAATAAATTAGGTTTTAGATAACATGTTTCAAAACAAAGAGAAAGTGACATATCACTAACAAGAGACCAGTTAAATGCAAAATGCAAGAAATAAGGCAAAATGAGTAGGTAGAGTTTATAAAATTTCTATATTCTTGAAATCATTTTGAATAGCTTTATTATTTTGTTTGCTTTGATTCTTTTCTTTTTTTTTCTTTTAAAAATATATCTTAGTATTTATTCCAAAACTGTTCGCCGCCAGATCCTATGCAAGAAGCTTTACAATCATTATTTTTAATCCTGAATATAACTGTTACACTTATGATTAAAGATGTTTATCCAGTTTTGTGGGTTTTGAGTTTGTTTTTTAGGCTGGTCAAGAACTCCCTATACAGATCAGGCTGGCCTCAAATCCATAGGGATCCATTTGCCTCTGCCTCCACAGTGCTGGAATTAAAGGTGTGTAGAACCACACTCAATAGTTTCATGGCTTTCCCCCCTTTTAACAAAGGAAGAAAATGAAGCGTGTCTAAGTGGAGTGACTTGTCCATTACCACACAACCGACAGGCAGCAGAATCGAGGCCTGAGTACAGGATCTTCCACACCATTCACCGCTTACCACAAAGAAAATTAGCTGAACCGCATCTATTATTTTACTAAATCCCATCTGTAAGATAACAGCAGAGCCTACTAGTCTTAAATGACTGCTTCTATCTTTAAGAAGCTAATAAAATAATAGAAAGTTCAAGATACCCTTACTAGCCTGCAAAAGGGTTATCACAGATAACAAGGAAACGGCTCCTGTCCTCAGTGCAGTGACTTAGAACTTGCTATCAGAACAAATCTGTTGATTCCAAGGTGATGTAGATGGAGAACAGAGACACCATTTACTCAAACACATGACAGCTTTTGGTTTGTTTGGTTTCAGTTTTGAGACAGGGTCTCACCACGTAGTCCAGGCTAGCCTTGAACTTGCCAAGTAGTCAAAGTGGGCCTGGAATCCTATTTTTAGGCATTTCCGTTGAGTAAGAATCCAAGTTGCATATATCAGTGCTGTCCAAATCTAACATGATGATATCCGCACACAGGAAACAAAGTTAAGTCCCTTCACACAGCAAAAAGGTCCTGGGATGACCATCCTAAGTCAGTGTCTCTTCGTGCCGCACATATTCCCCAATGTCTGCTTGATGAAACACCAAAATAGCCATGGGGTCCACTTTTCTGCAGTCTTGAGTAGACTTTGCTGCTACCCCGAAACCCAAAGGAATGTCCGCCATGGAGTAAACCACTACTCCCTGGTACTGAGAAGTGTTTTCAGTGATTCGACCCAGACTGGATTTCAGCACGTGGTTTCCATAAAAGAAGGACTGCTCTACTCCAGGCTTTATCCACACTTTATACTTGGCATAGGGTGCAAGGTAGTCAAGCGCTGTAACGTGCAACCGGAACTTGTGGGTCTTGGTAAACTTTCCAAAACACGTCCCCAGTGAAACCAGCTTCTCCCCGGAGATGTTGGCGGCCAACTTCAGGATCATCTCACTCACATAGTAGACGCGGTCGTTGTGCAGTCGGAAACAGTAGGTGCCGTCGGGCCTGTCCACCAGGAGCTGCAGATTCTCCCTGATGTATTTCGCGATCTTCTCAAACATCACTCGGGACTCTTCTGTCAAAGGCCGCATTTTCCTGCTAGCTCGGCTGCTGGGATCCTCGTGCCCGGAAAGACGGAAACGGAAGTCACCTTGATTCTTTTCTTTAAGATGAGGGTATAAAAGCAAGATTGGTAAACTTCTTAGTCCTAGTACATGCAATTGGGTTCTAAAACCAATTATTAAGACACAGTGTTCATATTAATATCCATTTGTCACTGTAAAGCAATGTACTCCTTACATACCTGAATGTATGGGAGAGATGGATTTTATACCCTATTCAGAAGGAAGGCCTCTAAGTCTAGAATACTCTGAGCCACTGGTCAGCTGAAACTCTTTCCTAAGGAGAGTAACAAGGATGGGAGTGGTGAGGAGGTTCAGTAGACAACATCATTGCAAGTTAAGGTTGGGATCCCAAAGTGAGATTGTCAGAATTCATGAAAAATGATAACTGTGCCTCTACACACCTATAACCCTTGCTCTTGGGGGCAAAAAAGGAGGATAAATGGGGCTGACTGATCAACCAGTCTAGTAGAAGTATTGAGTGTCAAGTTCAGTGAGAGCCCTTGTTTCAAGAAACAAAATAATGAAGAAATGATTGAAGAAGGCATTCCGATTATGGTTTAGGCCCCACATCCACCACATAGAAGAATAAACATGGAAACACCACAAACACACACACACACACACACACACACACACACATGCACACACACACACATACACACATGCACACACACGCGCACACACACACCAGGAGAAAAGGCTCTCCTGCTTCAGCAATCTGTAGGAAAGTGTGAAACTAGGAAAATAACAGAATAGTTTCCCATTGCATATCTAGGTTTTTAAGTATCACATGACACAAACTAGGGACCTTTTAACAGATTTGGTTCTTGATCCCTTCCTTTACCTGCTCATTCTTCCATTAGCTTCTCATATGCAAATAATGGGATTAAAGGAGACTAAGAGCTGCCTCATTCTCTAAACTGTTTTCTAATAATCTAAAAGACAGTATAATGAGTTAAATGAACTATTGAAATTCAGTATCTTCACAGTAAATTTTGTAGCAGAAATCATTCTACCCTTTGCCCCATAGCTTAAAAGTGAACTCCATATGTCTCCAAAAAAGAAAGGTTTACTTAAGGAAGCTTTGAGCAAAAGTATTAATGGCACCCATATACCAAAAATTAAATCATAAAATAAAAATAAAATTTATTTTAAAATTTCACTAAGCTACTGAATTTACATGTTCTACTTTATCATCCTTACAAAATGGACTATTTGACAAAGATCATATTTGTGACAGCTTAACTTCTTTCAACAACAGTATAAAATACCTATGGGTAAAATCATACCATGGACTGATTGTCATAGTTTTGATAGAAAACATGTTTAATGCAATATATCCTTGTAGCTGCTCATATAAATATATGCACAATATCCTAACATTGCATAAAGAAACTAAATGTTAAAATAAAATTTAAATTCTTAAACCAGTAGATTTCCTTAATAAGGTAACTTCTCTAGCTAGAATAATAATTGAGTTGCTAAATTTTTCTGAGAACTGGTTCACAGGACACTGCTAATTTCATCTTAAATGTCCTCTACAAATTCAGAGTTTGAATGGTTGTTCCCCACTAGATGGCACTACTGTGTGTGTGTGTGTGTGTGTGTGTGTGTGTGTAGGGGACGAGGAGGTTTAGCTGTGAAACTTATCTGGTGGAAGTCACTATAGGTATGCTATGAAGGTTACAGCTAAATTCTGGAACCTTGCTGTCACCCCCTGGCTCACAGCCTGTGATGATATGAGGAATGTCTGCACATATGCTCTACCACACCTTCCCTGCCTTGAACTAGACTGAATCTTTCTGAAACTATGAGCCAAAAGAGTGTTTCTTCCCTTAAGCCTCTTCTTTCCCACACCCTGTCACTGCATGCAGAAGTTATGAACACAGAATCTCAAGACCCTTAGTTCCAAAGAATCAAAAACCAAAGCCTTCCACAATCGAAATGCAGCAGGAAAAGTCTTCGAAGAAGACAACTGCAGCTGTTCCAGAATATCCCAAAAGACTCCTGAATCTCATCTTGCTCTAAATGAAACAGACTTTCCCTATCTACCTAACCTAGCAAACTCTCAGATTAACATTGTATTAGTCATCAAAGCCATCAAACAAAATAGAAACTCAGTCATATCAAATATAAACGCTGTTCAGAATTACATATTATGATAACTAGACAAAAAACAAGCTGCTTGCTTCTCATGGACACTATAGACACTCAATTCTTTAAAATATACTTTTTAAACCATAAAATAAATAATAATGTGTGGTATTGTTTAATTACTATTCTGCTGTTGATCTTTCTGATATTGGTACTATATTTTTGGGAAAGATATATGCCTTTTGTGACTGCCTTTTCACATGACTCAGAGCATCGGATAGGAAGCCCCCTGCAGAGCTGCATAAAGATTCCAGATCACAATAGGGAAAAAACCATTGTGGTTAAGTTTAGAAGTAGACAGTACTAAGCTATATTAAGCTCTGCTATTCTGAGCATGCACGGCCTGTGTCCGGTTCAAGTTTCCTCCTTCTTTCTACCATAGGATGAGGAACCTGACAAAAGGCCACATGTAAATGATGCATCCTTTCAAATGTAAAGCGCAAGTCATAGGTCTTATCTGTGCATATCCCATTGGTAAATTTGCTAAATACCACAGCATGATAGGTATTTTAAAAGATTAACTTTGACAGTGTGCATACAACTCTCATTAGGAAAGAAACAACAGTTCTGAGACAGTGTGATGGTCCATCTTTTTTAATAACTTAATTGGATTACCATGTAGAGATTAGTGAAGTACATCTCTGCATGTGAGGGCACCTCCAGTGCCGATTACCTCACTATGACTTGGATGTAATGAATGCATTAATTGTTTGATGGATTGTGCAGATGATGGCATCATTAGAACATGGTAAGTAGTAGGAGGTGGGTCGTTTGGAAGAAAAACAGGAAGCAAGTCCTGAGGGGCCAACTCTTGCTGTATGCTTCCTCTCCATTAGTAAGTGAAGAAACTTTTCCAATGTATACTCGAGCTATGATAATATTCTGACCAGATTCACTGCCAGAACCCTCTGAAAACATGATTCCAAATACATTTCTTCTCTCTTTGTTCCATTTTAGTACAGTGCTTTAAAAAACAATGTGACAAATAGAGAAAGCATCTAGTACGGTGACAGAGGAAAGAACAATTGTAAAATCTTAGCTACTGGGGTATATAGCTCAGTGGTAGAGCACAATTAGCATGTGTGAGGCTTTGGGTTCAATCCTCAGTCTCTGTCTGTCTGTCTGTCTCTATCTCTCTCACACACATGCACACTCAACATTCATATGTGCATTGTACATATGCCATGTCATAGTCAAAGATTATAAAATAAAATGCACATAAGCTGCTAAAGACCCTGACTTTGTTCAACTATAACTTCAGTTTCAATATTAACAAAACAATGCAGTTTTCCTTTATTTTAACCAAATATTGAAAATCCATAGAGATTAGCAAAACTCTAAGACAAACTCATGGACAATACTAGGCTAATTCTTCTGCCCAACCAACTGAAGATTCCAATGAATGGTAAAAATATTTTGAAATAGAGAAGTCTCCTGAGACAGACAAATTTGGATGCAGATTTAAATAGTATTTATTAAGGCTCCATTGATCATATCTTTCTAAAGCTGAGTATAAGCATGTTGCTGGCAGCAGGCTGCCACTTACTCCTTGTCTTGGTGGGTGACTTCTGTTGCTTTTAGTTACAGATTTGCCAATCTTTAAAGAAAAAATAAAAGAACTGGAGCTCATTTATGGTGAGTTTGGTTACTACAGGGCACATAAACCTGAAAGACATCAGACTTTATAGAATTTATACCAATTTCTGTGTCATCCAATGCTAGTGGGAATTTTAGAATATATTATAATATGTCATCATACATGAAAGAATTTAGAGTGCTGTTTGCACACTGCAATGCAACACAGCATATTGTGTTTCATGCTAACATGAATGGTACCTTCTTAGCATGTGAATTCTCTTGAATGTTAGTTCATAGCACCATATCATAATTATAAACTTATTTTATAATTAATGTTGCTTCTGTCTGGGTTTTTGCAGTGTTTGATCTGTTTGCACATTGAGTTTGGAGCTGTGTTATTGTTAATCATTTGCTTGCTCTTGGACAGGATCCATTAAGACATCTACATTAACCTCAACTCTCAATCCTCCCGCCTCCACTGCTTGAATTAAGAAACCCCTTGTCTGAGTCACACAAACCTCATGCTTCAGTCTTCCTTAAATTTTCATCTTATCCCTGAAATTATTTGATATATAGGGCACACTATATTTAGCAAATACTTCATCATGACTATGCTTGTTTGATGGCTGTTCTCTGTTGGAGTAAAATTAATTAAGAGTCTGGTATATTGTCTCATAATCAGTAACAATAAATAAATTAGATATCTGTAATAAGACAATACAAATATGGAAAACCATAATTAAAAACTCAAAACTATTCACAGCTTCCTTGACTTTGCTTATCAGAAAGTGAACTGTGGTTGTTCTAGTCCACAGAGACTCTGAAGCCAAGTTGGCTCATGGTATCATTCAGGTAAACAACTGAAAAACTGCACATTTATTGACTTTAGTTGTACAAGACTGTTGACTGAACACAATCTGTCGGAACCTGAACAAATTGGGTTTTGAATTTCATACAGTTTAATAACTTTGGCATATTCACCAAAATGTGTGAGTTTTAAGGTTATTGATGCTTGTTTTAGAAAAAAATTTAAAAGTTCCCTGTTTAAATTAGTTTGGAGAGATTCTATTAAATCAAGTTGAACAAACTCCAGCAAAGCAGTTGCTCTCAGAGTTCTAATAATGTGTGTTGGGACTCTCCAAGATAATACAGTGGGTGGAATTCCCCTTCCTAATTCCGCAGTAACTCTCAGGACTTTTGTTCTTTGGAGCAACCTTAGAAATCTTCATGTCAGT